AGATAGATACCAATTTTGCAATTTATCTAAATACGATAAAGATACGATGATGGTTACGATGATTCACGCGGTTCTCCTATTTTTAGACTGCCGACATGATAAACTTGGAAGAAGGTTGTAAATGGGATATCACAAAGGTGACGCAAAGACGAAGGGTCGAGAGCTACTCTTGCAATTCCAACGACATATACGAGGACATACACTACAGCATCACAGTGAAGAGGAAAATACCAGCGTACCACAGCATAGTCGTCATACCAGCTTTAGGTACATAATTAAACTAGGAAATACAATTGTCTAGCATATACGAAATTACACCACAATTAAACAAAATATTTACGTGCTCCTCCCCCCTCAAAAAAAAAAAATAAATTCCTTATAACTCTCTATCCCTGATCAGTCCGCATTGTGGCAATTGACATTGAAGGTGTACACATTACTCAGTAAAGATGTATTATCCAGAGGCGTTCGGGCACTTTTTTTGGTATAAAACAAGTTAATTAATAATAAAAAAAAAATATGATATAACCAGGGCTTGAGACTTGAAGCATTTGCTTATTTTAATGGATTTACTTAAAATGTAGCATAGTGCTATGGAAGTGTATGTCATGTTATAACACGTTCAATTATGAAATTTGAAAGTGCTTTTTTTCAAAAAAATTCTTATTTCCAGTTTTTCAGATTATTTTTGCTTGTTTGACCAGTATTTATACGTTTTTATAATTTTTTTCAACTATTTGTAAATACCGTTAACATTTTATTGTTCAGAAAATCTATAAGATCCTTAAAGTCTCGAAAGTGAAGTTTAATTTATTTTATAACATAAAGATAAAGATTTATTTTAATTTTGATTAATATTTTCGTTGGAATTTTCAGTTTTTTTTTTTAAATAAATATTTTTGCTTTTGAGTGCTTATAAGTGCTATAAGTCCCGAGCCCTCGATATAACAAAAGTTATTTTCATTTATCAAGTCTTTCTGTAACACGTTGCAGTATATATGGGAAACTGTACCTACCCAGAAATGTTAAGTTCTTATTTTTTTWAAATTTATTTTGGACAATTTTTTGCTATGACAATATTTCTCATTTCTGGCATCGCATGCCGGGCCRACCCGTAAGTTTCGCCTATGCGCACTAAACTACTGTTCGTTTCAAAATATGATACACCTATCGTCGTTGTATATCATTGATTAATTACAATCAGATATGATCGACGATAGTCATTATTCATTATATTAATGTGTACAATTATGTATGTGTTTTCGTTCTTTAGTCGTCGTGCTCCTGACACTATCCGTTTTTTGGCTGCCTCCGGAGTCGACAGAGAAATTCATGTTGAGCGGCGTCACGCTGGTCATAGTGTGCATACTGCTGATGATGATTTCCAGCAATGTGCCCATCATGTGCGATCGTATTCCGTTAATCGGTGAGTTGTGTGTTTCCGATCTCGTCGAATATATCATATTATACATTGAACCATACATATAACGAAGGCCCACGGGCAACAACGAAAATTTGTTTTACCTACCTAGTAGACAAATTCGTTAAATATAATTGAATTAATTAATTTAAAAAATATTTAATATATTATTATTTCATTATTTCTCAAACATGTTTCGTTGAACATAAAATGTTGTTAAATGATTTAAGTTTGTTACATGGGAGTTTTGCTGTATATATATTATTGTATTGTATTGTACAAAGTATTACAGACGTTTACTGTACATTGTCTATATAATTGTTCATTAACCGTTTGCTTTTCAGTAATGTTCTATTCAAACTCACTGGGAATGGTCACCCTATCGATGGTGTTC